CTGGAAGTAGGGAATTTGGGTTGGATAGCAGAATGTGGCCAGTGCGAAACACAAGAGAGTAGGTAGCCAAGAATCAAGAGAAGATAGAAAGCAGAGATGGGAAGGGCATTTTAAAGTTTTGCTTTCATGAAAGTTTCTCTTATTATTCTGTTTTTCCAGCTGCCAAACAAAATAGAAATCATTATGCCTATCGGAGAGGTCTATCAATTAAATCAGCTCAGTATAGCAGAACACTGGGGAGTATCTAGGAAGTGCTAGCACGCTGCAGCAGTTAAGAGCTCACCTCTTGGCAGAGCTGTGCCACCTGGGTTCAAGTTCCAGCTTCACTACTTACTGACCAGGTGTTCTTGGGCAAAATACTTATATACTCTCTGTCCTTATTTTACTCATGAGTAAAGTGCAGATCACATGAAGGTGTTGTGAAGATCAGTGAGATCGTTGTGAAAAGTTATTGTTATGAGGCAAACATTGTGCATGACATTGAGGGTGCTAGTGGGAAAATAGATCCTGAGATAGACAATTTCAATGAAGTGTTTTTTAAAATGTCTTTTTTAAAAAAAGACATTTGAGTGAAAGTTGTCTTCTTTTTTTTTTTTTTGAGACAGGTTCTCACTCTGTCACCCAGGTTGGAGTGCAGTGGTGCCATCTTAGCTCACTGCAACCTCTGCCTCCTGGGTTCAAGCAATTCTTCCACCTCAGCCTCCTGAGTAGCTGTAATTACAGGCATACACCATCATGCCCAGCTAGTTTTTGTATTTTAAGTAGAAAAGGGGTTTCACCATATTGGCCGGGCTGGTCTTGAACTCCTTACTTCAAGTGATTTGCCCACCTTGGCCTCCCGAAGTGCTGGGATTACAGGTGTGAGCCACTGTGCATGGTTGAGGGTTGTCTTTTGAATCAGTTCTTCATTTTGGACTGGAGTTGCAGAAGGCAGTCATGAGTTCTAAAATCAAGATGCCCCCAAAAAGCTCACATTACATGTATTTTGTAACCAACCAAATGGCATTGGTGAGACTTCCATACAGAACTGGAGAGTAAGCCAGGAGTCAAGGTAACCTAGCTCTTCACAGACTGGTAGAAGAGTCATGTAAGTATATCAGCAAAAGTGCCAGTCATGATGATGTCTATATTACTTTAGAGTAACTGAGAGAAGGGAAGTCGCCAAGAGTCTTAACATGTGCCAGCACTCTTTAAAGCAGTTTACCTCCCTTAACTCATTGAAGGCTCCAATAAGCCTACATTTTATAGATAATGGCACTGAGGCTCAAAGAGGGAAAATAATTTGCCCAAGGTCATACAGCTGCCATGTGGTAGAGCAAGAAAGCAAAAGATCTGTTCTAATAAGAAAAAATCAAAGTCAGCAGTATTCCAAAGCCAAAATCAAAAGAAAGAGAAGCTGTGGTTAATAGCGTTCAGATTCCCCTAGCATTCTAAGGTCTAAATTATAGGCCCTCTTTGATATAGGCTAAGCGCTGACAGTTTTTTTCTTGATTATTTGCATCAGGGAAGTTCAGAAGTCGAATATTGCTTTATGACAAATTCAGTACTTTTTTAAAAATCTTAAAAGGAAATGTTGTATCAATTCATGGAGACACCCCTCCTCTAATAGATCTTTAATTAAAAATAAAAGAAGATGCATTGCATTCTGAAATGTGCTGGATTTTGTCCTGCCATGGCTTTGATTTACCATATTTTTTAATGCTGAAAGCTTTTTCAGGCAGCAGAATTCTTACAGTAGGTTTACTGAGAGAGCTGTTCACTCTTCAGTTCTCAGACAAAGCTAAGTCCGAAAAGCTTTCCGTAAGAAGTTTAAATCCTTTTCCACAGGACAGAGCAGAAAGAAAACTGAAGGAGAGAGGCAATGGGACAGTGGTTCCTTTGTAGCATACTCTTACCAATAGGAGAAGGTGACAATGACAGTAGGAACGCTGGCCTGAGACCCATTCTCAGCACTGCCAGGGAAGGTACAAGACATTGCAGGTCTTGTCTTGGAGACACTCCCAGGGATACCAGGCACGTTCTGGAGAGCGTGCACCTCTCTCACATCCACCAGAGGGCACTCTAAAATCTTACAGGACTTTTCTGTGGGGACTATTTGAAACAGTTCCTTAACTTCCCCAAGCTTCAACATCCTCATCAGAATGGAGAGTTATAAGAGCTAAATGCAACATTGAACATAAAGCTCCTGGCTCACGGTATGGCCCAATAAATGTTGGTCTCTCCTTTATCACTCACCCAAACCAACAGCACCAGCATACAAATAAGTTGGTCTGGGAAGAGTCGGTAGGCTCCTCCTATCTGCAGTTCTGAGCTTGTCTCCTGTGAGTCAGAACCTGCTAGCTCTAGAAAAAAAGGGATTCTCCGTCTCCACCCTCCCCAAACTGATGAACTCATGCTGACTGTTGGTGCTGCATGTCAGAATGTATCAAACCTCACAAGTAGAGAAGTTGCTTTGCAATTTTTGGCTGGAAGGGTGGCTGGGTATTTCGACTATCAAACGCAGCTGCCCACACCTGCCAGTTCACTGTTTCCGGCTTGTCTATATAGGGAGCAACATCATAACAGAGGGAACACAGGCCTAGAAGTCGAGAACTCTGGATTCTGTGCCTACCTTCTTCATCTGTCCATGGCCTTGAGCAAGTCACTTCATGTCCCTGAGCCAGTTTTCCCACTTATAAAATGAGTCATTGAATTAACTGTTAATCTGTAGACTTACTTCCAGTTTGGAGGGTTCCTTGATATTCCCTTCCATCAGGGCAAGGCATATTCCAGGAGAGATGGACTACATACACCATTTGCAAACTTTATGTTGCCTTAAAAAAAAAAACAAAAAAAAAACCTGAACTGATTATACTGTTTTCAGTTGCTCAGGAGACTAAGTGGCTAAATATCTGTTTTCCTATTGGCTCATTGAAGTTTTTGTCCCATGGACCCTGTTGGACCAGTTAGGCTTGTTTTTCAGTTTGGTTAAGGAGACCAATTACCTAAGAAAGGATAATCCTCGTTCCAAAACCTGAGTTCTACATCTTATATCAGCCTAACCCATGGGATACCATGTTTACTTCTCCAACTACTTCCATCCCACTCCCACCTTTTCACTGATATTTTCAACTCTAAAATATGAGGTGCAAAAGGGAAAATGTAAGAGTCTGGGTCCATGCCCTGTGGAAATCTTCGTGATCCTTCAGAGCCACACCCCTATTTACTAGCTTGCTGTGATCGGCTAGATTTTCATAGCAATCACTGTGCACAGTCATTGGATCCAAGATGACATTTCACCCCTTTCTTCAGCACTTCACTATTGTATTAAATGAGATTTCTGGGAGGTCTATGAAGGACAGTGAGAGCAAGGTGATGAAGACTGCTTTGCAATGTTAGAGCAGGACTAAAGCCTCTTGGGTCCCTGGCCAGAAAGAAGACTTTTGTGAGCTCAGATAACTCTTGGGAAGTACTTTAGAGCTGGAAAACTTGGGGTGTGAGTGGAGTAACAGTCCTATCTCTGGACTTGCAGAAGAGACAGATAGGGAAGGATGGAGTGAGAGATCGCTGAGGGGATGGCCTTCCTTCACCAGAATCTGCTTTCATGTATTGTTTTTCTCCTCTGACAAAGGGCATATTTAATAATAATAGTTTAGAACATCATACTCTAAAAAGCACTTGCTTATTCTAATCCATACAACAGGCCTGAGATCAGCTGTGACAGACGTTTGAAAAGCTGACTTTAGAGAAGGGCAGGATGTCCACACAAACGCCCACAGCAACGTGGCATCCTCCTGGGGCACTGACCATGGTTTAAGATCTAGTTTTGGGCCTTTTGGATCCAGAAGGTCACCAGAATGGACCTGCATTAACCAAGCTTCCAGAAATGGAAATATAAAAAACTAGATGCTCATGGATTAATTTCAGCAAAAAATGCAGCTGTGGGGCCAACCAGAAAGCTTGAGTCAGCAGATTGGAACCTTCTCTCCCAGTATGCTACTTGTTTCAGAAGCCAAATTATAATCAGAAGGCCAATTTATTCACTTCTGTGAACCAGATGTTCATGTTAGCCCAGCCTTTCCTGACAGATAAACGACATAGGAAACCAAATTATTAGAAGAGTGCTTGGTGAACAAGGGACCCAAGCAAAGGGCATTTGCTGACTACAGGGTGTCTTTCAGCAAAGGCAGCTGGAGGTCCCCACTCATGGAAGGGACAGCCTTGCCAAGAAAACTGTAGTGCTTAAGTCTGGTGAGCAAGCCTTCCTCTCCTTGCATTACGCATGGACGGCAACTACCAGTGCTAGACTTGGCAACTCTTCGTATTCTATGCTTCTGTTTCCCATGGTCCTTGTCAAAACAGGGTTATAATACAAATAATTAGTTCTCTGCTTACTTTCTGGGATTGCTCCCAAATGATCTCAATTGAAATTTTTGCAGTTCCAAAAGTTGTTAGACACACGTTTATGAACAGAGTCTCAGTTTCCCAGTACAGATGGCTAATTCAATTCAGCAAGTGAAAATTTTACTAGTTTAGCTCTTGAAAATCTTCTGTTTGATGTCTTGAGCAGCAGTGCACTTTCTGTAGAAAAGGTTATCTGTGCATGTGTGATCTACAAATTTAGAAATGGAGACTCAGGGGCTGCGTGCCTTGCCGTTGGGCTGTGTTATCAGTGGAGCTGGTACTCAAATCTAGATCTTCTGAGTTGAGATTCTACACTTGTTCTATTGGATGTGACCAAGTTGTCTATTATTAGTAAGTTTCATTTTAAAGCAAAAAAGGAAAATCAATGTGTTCTTAAGAATTATCTTTAAAAACATTAAGTGAGTTTTTTATTTCCTAAATGGCAGGGAGAGAAGGGTGGGTGTTGCATAAATGTGTGTAACGGGGCACTTGAGATGATATGAATAAGAAGGTCACTCGGTGTAGCTGCCTGCTACATCTGGACCCATGAGGTCCAGGCACAGAGTATCAGAGATCTTGTCTGGGAGTAGACAGTGAATAAATGTGTCTTGTTACAGAATCTGAGTGTCTCAGAGGCAAGAGGAAAAATTCTCCACTATGAGGTGATCTTGCAGGAACTGACAGGCGGGAAAGCCATGATACAGAACATCACAGGACACACCTTCTGGTCCACAGTCATTCCTAGAACTGGAAATTGGACTGTGGCTGTGTCTGCAGCAAATTCAAAAGGCAGTTCTCGGCCCACTCGTGTTAACATAACAAACCTCTGTGGGGCAGGTAAGTTCTAATTTTTTCTTTGATATTGCCTGTGGAAAACTGTGTCTTACTCATCTCTTAAGTCCTGCAGGCCCAACCCAGGGCCAAAAATGAGTAGCTAGGAGTTCAGACTTTGGAGTCAATAATACATGTTGTTAAGTTTTGACAGCGCCATGATGCCATTGGGACTCTAGGCTCCTTCTTTCTGTTCCCTCTGCCAAGTCTGGCTTTCATCCTCATGATGGAAATGGTCCAAGATGGCTGCCAAGGCTCTAGCTATTTCCTTCTAGACAGCAGAAAAGGAAAAGAAGGGCTCAGCCCTTACTCTTAAGGAGCTTCACCCCGGGTCTCACAACAACACTTGCATTCATCAGCCTACTGGTAACCTGATCACACCCAGCTGCAAAGGAGGCTCAAAAATATACTAAGCCTTTCAGAGGCTTTTTTTTCCCCCAATCAGCCTATGAGTAGCCTTGGACAAGTGAATGAACACCTCTGAGCTTCAGTGCCTCCTCTCTAAAATAGGAATTATATTACCTGTCTCGTAGGTCATTTTGAAACTAAATATTAATACATAGCAGGTATTTAATACATTGTAGTTAAGGAAGTAGTAGTTACATTAAATTGAACACCAATACCTGACCAACTTTTATAGAAGCAGGAATAATACATGTTGTTAAGTTTTAGAAAACATTTTACACCTACAGTCAAAACCTATTTTAAAACCAAAGCTGGGCATGGTGGTGTGTACCTATAGTCCCAGCTACTCAGGAGCATGAGTGGGGAGGGTTGCTTAAGCCCAGGAGTTCCATGCCAGTCTAGGCCTCACAGTGAGACCCTCGTCCACTTCATGAAAAACAAATAAATATAACCAATAATATTGAAATTCTGACTCTAAACTATAGTAAAATTGTGTTTTACCATCGCCCTTTATTGTACAAGTTTAGACATGTATCCAATTACTTTTATCAAAAAATTCCCAACTAGATATAGAGTCTCACATTTTATAGTCAAATTCTCTGAAAATTAATTTCTCAGGATAAAAGCTCATGATTAGGCAAGGAAATTGATATTAATCCTATTTCTCAAGATCTGTATTATGAAAGAATTCCATATCAGGTTCATTGGCCTAACTTCAAAAAATGCCTAACAGAGTAAAACTCTATAATTAGATCCGTCCTTAAAATTCAGTATAATGATTTATCTACCAGTGGGTTTAGTAATCTTCATTTTGAAAAAGTCTCTACCAAAATACTATTATATAATATACACTGTTAAATCTTGGTTATATATCTTTTCAGTCATATATCTGTACACATAGAGATAAAGTAGTAGATAAAATACTTAGAAGAAAATACAGGTAAATATTAATGTGTGTATATATATATATACAAGTAAACAGTATATATATTATATGCATATAACCTTGGGTTGATGTATGAGTTAGGAATTTCTCTTGGAATTAGGGTTGTTCTTACCAAAGGCCCGACTATAGGAACTTATTTAATCTCTCAAAAAAAGAGAAGTCCAGAGGTAGACAGCATAGGTCTGGTGTGACAGCGCCATGATGCCATTGGGACTCTAGGCTCCTTCTTTCTGTTCCCTCTGCCAAGTCTGGCTTTCATCCTCATGATGGAAATGGTCCAAGATGGCTGCCAAGGCTCTAGCTATTTCCTTCTAGACAGCAGAAAAGGAAAAGAAGGGCTCAGCCCTTACTCTTAAGGAGCTTCACCCCAGGTCTCACAACAACACTTGCATTCATCAGCCTACTGGTAACCTGATCACACCCAGCTGCAAAGGAGGCTCAAAAATATACTAAGGCAGCAATGTTCCCTTGCTAAAAATGATGAGGAGAAGGTGTTTGTAGGCAACTGGTAATCTCTATCTCATGTAGGGAAGACACCTAAAGCAGGAACCTTGAAGGAAAAAAAGTATTAACTAAAGAGAAAAACACTTTGACTTCATGCATAGAAAATAGGTTTTTTAAAAGCCACCATAAATAAAGCTTTAAAATACAAATAGCAATGTAAAAAAACTGTATGTCACATTTTTAGCAGAGGGAGGGTTGATTTCTATATATCTATATATTTATGTATATATCTATTTATATAACTTTTTCAAATATATGAGACTAGGGAATATAAACAGGCAACTCAAAAAAAGTATAAAAGGAGCAATAAAGATATGAAAATATGTTTATCAGCAATCAATGAGATACAAATTTTGAGAAAACCTGAGAAACCAAATCAGATGAGAAAGAGTAGGTAGAATGAGCATACCCTATGTTGGTGATGGTGTGGGGAAAATGATACTCTTGTATACTGCTAGTGTGTAAATTGGTACAACTTACTGGAGAGCAACTGGCAATATGTAACAAACTTTAAATGTAAACTTGTATCTTTCACTTTTTTTGGGGGGGGATAGAGTCTCGCTCTGTCACCCTGGCTGGAGTGCAGTGGCACGATCTCAGCTAACTGCAACCTCCTGCCTCCCATTTTCAAGCAATTCTCCTGTCTCAGCCTCCAGAGTAGGTGGGATTACAAGCGCGCCTGCCACCACACCAGGCTAATTTTTGTATTTTTTATAGAGACAGGGTTTCACCATATTGATCAGGCTGTTCTTGAACTCCTGACCTCAGGTGATCTGCCCGCCTCAGCCTCCCAAAGTGCTGGGATTACAGGCATGAACCACCACACCTGGGCAACTTGTATCTTTTGACCAGGAAATTTTAGCCTTAGAAATGTATACTGAGCATATCATAGGATAAGTGCTTAAAAATATAAGTACAAAGATATTTGCTGAAAAATTGTTTGAAATAGTGAAACATCATAAACAACCTAAGTGTATAAGAGTAAAGAATGGACTGATTAAACTCATCATGACCCTCACCTGCCTTAATTTTATACCAACAATAAAGGGATGTTATAGCTATGTTTTTATTCACATGGACAGATATACATTACAAGTAAAAAGGTAAGATTTTAAAAGTGTATATGAGATTATGCCATTTTAAATATATATTTACACCCAGTGCAGTGGCTCACAGCTCTAATCCCAGCACTTTGGGAGGCCTAGGTGAGAGAATTGCTTGAGCCCAGAATTTTGAGACCAGCCTGGCCAATATATGGAAAAAGATACAAAAAAATAAAAAGATTAGGGTCAGGCACAGTGGCTCATGCCTGTAATCCCAGCACTTTGGGAGGCTGAGGCAGGCAGATCACCTGACATTGGGAGTTTGAGACCAGCCTAACCAACATAAGAGAAACCCCATCTCTACTGAAAATACAAAATTAGCCAGGCCTAGTGACACATGCCTGTAATCCCAGCTACTCTGGATGCTGAGGCAGGAGAATCACTTGAACCCAGGAGGCGGAGGTTGTGGTGAGCTGAGATTGCACCACTGCTCTCCAGCCTGGGCAACAAGAGGGAAATTCTAGCTCAAAAAAAAATTAACAAGAAGAAGAAAAAGAAGAAGAAGAGGAAGAGGAAGAAGAAGGAGAAGAGGAAGAAGAAGAAGAAGAAGAAGTAGTAGTAGTAGTAGTTTAGTCAGGTGTGGTGGCTCACACCTGTGGTCCCAGCTACTTGGGAGGATGAGGTGGAAAGATTTCTTGAGGCCGGAGGTTGAGATTGCAGTGAGCTGTGATCGTGCCCGGCACTCCAGCCTGGGTGACAAAGTGAGACTCTGTCTCAAAAGCAAATGAATACATAAACATTTACATGAGCACATATTTTTTGAAGGGTTATAAAGAAAGTCTAGTTGAATATAGATGGAAATGTTAACAGAGATCACTCTACATCTGGAATTACAAGTTATTTTTCTTCCCTTTTGCATTTTATATTTAAAAATTTGTTCTTCAGTAGCTAAGTACTGTATATGTAACCTTTAAAGTGAATTCTGTGGTTCTATTCTGCTGTTTTTAAAATGAAATGACTTATTTCTTCAAACGTCACTGTAGATGGGTCTTGAGGTTTTAAATCTCATGAATGCTATGGTCCCATTCCAGGTTCGTTAGTTAGATTTGGTAACAACTTCTCAAATGCCACATTCATCATGTTAGAGTTCACTTCTACTTTATTCATTCAACAGTCATTTTTGAGCATCTACTATATAAGACAATTGGAATCCGCCTGTAGGTAAAAGATACAGTCGAGGTCCTCAACTTATATTTAGTCAAGGAGGAGGGTCAGACATATAAACAAGTGCAGTACAGTAGAATAAGCGTAAGGTTGGAGGTATGCATGGGGGCTCTAAGAACAGAGAAAAGCCAAAACATGCACTTGGAAGGGAGGCCAGGAGGGGTGGCGGCATGCTTACCAAGTATGGAGAGAGAAAGTGGTGTTAGCCAGGTGAAGGAGAGCAGGTGTGCAGGCACGAGGATTATAATAAAGTCCCTGGGGAGATGGGAGATGATGAGGAGCCAGTGACCCAGAGAGGCAAGAGAAACAATTTATCCTCTGAGAGTGGACAGAGGACCATTGGTCACGAAATGGTAAGAATGGGATTGATGTATAGATCATGTGGGAAGGGAAGGAGGGACATGAGGCAATTCTTTAGAGTCGAGCTATAGGAAGAGGGTCTTAGAAGTGCTGGAATCTCAAGGGTCTCTTGCCTCTCCTAAGATCACACCTGAGCCATTCTGTACAAGTAGTTGTGTGTCCCAGAAGGACCTGGAGAGCAAACTGGCAAACTGTATGGTCCTGTCTTTGAGGACTTTGTCTCACACATGCTCTGAATGGTCTGTAGAGGTAGAAGAACAGGACTTTGGGCCTCCTCCTCTTTCAGAATGCATTCATACCATTTACATATGCATCTTTCTTTTAAGAAAAGGATAAAATAATTTATAAAATTTTTATAATAAAGGGAAAATTTATAAAATTTATAATAAAGGGAAAAAACCAGCCTAAGAAGGCCGAGCATACCCAAAATCAGAACCCCTCTTTCTCTACAGTGGATTGCAGTTCCTCATCAGCAATGGAACAAGCCCTGATGGAAAAGGACTGTGTTCCATTATCTGAAGTAG